TTTTTTGTTTATAGAACTTCTTCAAATTTTCTGATCTGCAGTGGTATTCTTATTTTCCTGAACTATCATTCTTTCTTCTTTTTAGAAATATATTTTATCGGAATTTGAGGTGAAGGGAAAGAGGTGAATGTGTCCTCATTTGCCATCCATTTTTTTTCATAAAGTAAAATGTAAAAGTACAGATTTTGAAATTAAGAAGACTTAGAGATGATGAAACCATTTTAATGGAGGCTTAACATATTTGTTTAATGAATTTATAAGAGGGCATTTATTTAGCAGTAGCCCCTGTCACCAATTCATTATTTTTCCCTGTGGAAACTACTGACTTTGGAGAAATTTCTTGGCTAATGCTTATTGTTAGTCATCCTATTTAAGAACAACTTGAGTAAGGTGATATTTTTATTTCATGGTAGCAAATGAATTGTTTTGATATAGTCGATATTGACCCACTTAGAGGCATGTTATTTTGAGAGGTACCATGGCATATCAGTATCTTGTAAATTTTAAACTAATGCTAAAGAAGTAAACCCTTATGTACTTTAATGGCGATTGTAAAAGAACTTCACTGTCTTGCTCTAGACAAGATTTAGCAAAAAGAGAAAATCGGGTGTTATATTAATGGTCCTGCAAATCAGCAGCTCATCTGTACAAGCAAATTAACTGTCTTCTAGAATGGACAGAGATTTGTTTATAACCTCATTTTAATTAATTACATTTTTGGAAAATGAATTGAATTTAAGATTAGGCCCCAGGCTTGAATTTGTCATATTATTCATTATTGTATTTTGAAACCAAGTTTGCTAATAGCTGTTTAAAGGAGAATAGGAAAAGATTTTCATTTACATAGTTAGGGTTTATTTGTGGAATAAGGATTATATCTTTGTTATTATTCAAAAATAGAAAAAAGTGCAACAACATATTCTCTTTGTAAATGTTGAAAATTAGTAACAAATCTGTATGATTGTTTTTGTATGCCTTGTGAAGACTTAGCAAATTTGATTTTATTTTTCACTTTTACTTTTTTCTAGTAAAGCCAAGTCCTACTTGAGAGACATCAATAGCCTATGGAAATTTGTTGCTTTTCTTTTAAAAGTGCACCTGCATCCAAAACTGAGTAAAAACATACTTGACAAAGAAAACTACTATAATGAATTAAATTTCTCAGCACTACCTAATTTGCAAGTATGACTAGTTTTGATTAAAAAGAAGTTGATTATAATGTTTACACTGTTTATTAAATAGAAAAGCTGGATGCAATCAGAAATCATAGATGTACTCGTGGAGATACTGAATCTGAAAATTTTAGATGTGACCATTGCTAATTCCTTTTAAGGTTTACTAATCTTGCTAGCGTAACATTGAGTTCTATGGGTTTTGGAGGATTTTCTTGTTGCAGGTGGTGGTGATCCTCCTTATTTTTGTTTTTTGGTAAGGCATGAGTAATGTAGATGCATATTCTTATCATAACTTAGTAAAACTCTTTTATCAAATTAGTCAGTGCAGCTTGCAGCTAGGTACTGCTAAAAATATGTTAACATGACTAGAAATTTTTCAGTGCACTTATTTTACATCTTTCTGGTTATAATTGACCAGAACATCTGACTCCTGCCTCTTCTTTCCTTTTATCCATTTTGTTGCCTTTATTTTGCGTATCTTTGTATATGTACAGATTTCTGGCTTCCTCATTCCTATCGAGCAGACTAACTTTTAGTGGTCTACTTGTATCTTCACTTATCAACTTAAATTGTTCTTTTTACAGTAGGTTCAGTGCTTCTGTATGTGTTCTCTGTCTTCTGGATCTCTCTTCGACCTTTGGTTCCACTGACCAGCAATTCTTTTTTTTTTTTTTTTTTTTAATTGTACTTTAGGTTCTGGGATACATGTGCAGATCATGCAGGATTGTTGCATAGGTACATACATGGCAAGGTGTTTTGCTGCCTCCATCCCCCGTCACCTGTATCTGGCATTTCTCCGCATGTTATCCCTCCCCAGCCTCCCCACCTCCTGCTGCCCCTCCCTTAACCCCCAACAACAGACCCCAGTTTGTGATGCTCCCCTCCCTGTGTCCATGTGTTCTCATTGTTCGACACCTGCCTGTGAGTGGGAACATGCGGTGTTTGATTTTCTGTTCTTATGTCAGTTTGCTGAGAATGATGGTTTTCAGATTCATCCATGTCCCTACAAAGAACACAAACTCATCGTTTTTTATGGCTGCATAGTATTGCATGGTGTGTATGTGCCACATTTTCCTTGTCCAGTCTATCATCAGTGGACATTTGTGTTGGTTCCTGGTCTTTGCTATTGTAAACAGTGCCACAGTGAACATACGTGTGCATGTGTCTTTATAATAGAATGATTTATAATCCTTTGGGTATATACCCAGTAATGGTATTGCTGGGTCAAATGGAATTTCTATTTCTAGACCCTTGAGGCATTGCCACACTGTCTTCCACAATGGTTGAACTAATTTACACTCCCACCAACAGTGTAAAAATGTTCCTATTTCTCCACATACTCTCCAGCATCTGTTGTCTCCAGATTTTTTAGTGATCATCATTCTAAATGACGTGAGATGGTATCTCAATGTGGTTTTGATTTGTATTTCCCTAATGACTAGTGATGATGAGCATTTTTTCAAATGTTTGTTGGCCTCGTATAAGTCTTCTTATGAAAAGTGTCTTTTCATATCCTTTGCCCACTTGTGAATGGATTTGTTTGTTTTTTTCTTGTAAATCTGTTTTAGTTCTTTGTAGATTCTGGATATCAGCCCTTTGTCAGATGGGTAGATTGCAAAAAAATTTTTCCCATTCTGTTGGTTGCGAGTTTACTCTAATGATAGTTTCTTTTGCTGTGCAGAAGCTCTGAAGTTTAATTAGATCCCATTTGTCTATTTTAGCTTTTGTTGTCAATGCATGTGTTTTAATCATGAAGTCCTTGCCTATGCCTATGTCCTGAATGGTTTTGCCTAGGTTTTCTTTAGGGTTTTTATGGTGTTAGGTCTTATGTTTAAGTATTTAATCCATCTGGAGTTAATTTTAGTGTAAGGTGTCAGGAAGGGGTTCAGTTTCTGCTTTCTACACATGGCTAGCCAGTTTTCCCAACACCATTCATTAAACAGGGAATTCTTTCCCCATTGCTTGTTTTTGTCAGGTTTGTCAAAGATCAGATGGTTGTAGATGTGTGGCGTTTCCTCCAAGGCCTCTGCTCTGTTCCATTGGTCTATATCGCTGTTTTGGTACCAGTACTGTGCTGTTTTGATTATTGTAGCCTTGTAGTGTAGTTGAAGTCAGGTAGCATGATGCCTCCAGCTTTGTTCTTTTTGCTTAGGATTGTCTTGGCTATGCAGGCTCTCTTTTGGTTCCATATGAAGTTTAAGGTGGTTTTTTCCAGTTCTGTGAAGGTCATTGGTAGCTTGATGGGGATAGCCATTCTTAAGTGTTGTGACTTCAGAAATATTTTTCCGTTTAGTCTTATAATAATAATTAGCTAATTTTTCTTGAGTACTTTGTATCCTTGACTATTCTAAGCACATTATATCTCATATGATTTTTAGCACAATCTTTTGAGGTAAGTTCGTATTATTTTTTCCACTTACGGATAAGGAAAGTAAGGTGGAGCTGGTAGTTTTCCTTTAGATGCTGTACTGTTCTGATCAGTGTCTCCTCTCATCCTTTTCTGCTTGGATCTGGTTATGTATATTTTCATTTTTTGCCGTACGCTCACCAGTTATGTTAAAATTTCTACATCCCTCAAAACTGCTGAAGTATCAGTTAATAATATAGTTTTCAACAGAATAGAAGTTTAATAAATGTTATGAACCAATTTCTTTGTCTTGCCTTTTGAAATTAACTTTAAAGAGAACAGTTGTTAAAGGCCCAAAATTAGACCTAAGAGAATTTACAGATGATACACCTATGTGTTTTTGTTTTATCCATAATTCTTCAGTTTCTTAATTACTAATACTATACCAAGACAAATGCCTGGATTTCATCATTACCAATTAAAATATGATTTTCTTAGAGTTGAAGACTGAATTTAGGGCCAGTGTTTTTCAAGTATGTTAATTATTTTTAAATGTATAACTCTACTCATTATAAAAGTGGATTATTTTGTAAGTGTTGGTTATTAAGTGTATGTATTCCCAGGTTTTTACTCTGAAGTGAGCTGAAGATACAATGCCTAAGCATTTTGTGCTTATATTTTGTACCAACAATATGAAAACAATTTGTATAGCTTCATTACTTATTCCCAAAATGATTTGAGGAACCAGTTAGGCCCATTTGCACAATATCTGGCAATATTTCTACATTAAATATGTTACGATCTGGCATTTAAAATGGCGAATGTACATATTATCAGGCATCATTGTTTCTTTTTTTAAGAAGTGTATAAAATTTGGAAACAGTGGTTTGGAAATATCTTTAGTGACTATAATGAAATAGTTAATCTTACAAAGGGAAAGCATGAAATTGTTTGAAATTGGCTTATATTGGTTGTCATGCTAAGCTTATTTTTTAATTGTTTGTTATTTGGTTTGATATTGGCTGTCATGATTTAAAATGTCTATGGTTGTATAGAAGTTCTTCATGAATATATAAGCAATTCTTATATACACATGTATTTAAGAAAATGAATAGTTCATATTTTTGCTGTCGGAGGACTTTTTAAAAACATATGTGAAACACTAAAATACTTTTGAATTGGAACTGAGGACTAAGCTCTGATTTTTTATCTTGCCCAAATTCCTACTTAAGGGGCCTAGGGTGTCATGCCCTGCAAATTACAAATTCTCATCAGATGGGTTTTATTTGACCCTGTGTATCATGACTTACTTTTCAGTCTAATTCTGGCATAACATTACAAGATGAGGAAAAAAAATTTAACCCCAAAATACATTTTCTTGCCATACCTTGAAATTGTCCTGCAAAGTCTCTTGTGGGAAAAATCCACATCCTGTAGAGATTCCCCTTTCTCCTTTGTTTTCCTTTCTTTCTTTCCAGACCCAGGAGATAATCAACTCATAGCCTGGCACCCTTTTAGTTTCGATAAGACACCTATTCTGTCTTTGAAGTCTGCTCTCTGAGAAATTCCTTTGCACAATAAAACTTGGTCTCCAAAGTCCTTTATCTTAACCTAAACATTCCTTTCCCAGGTCTTCAGATAAACTCAACCAATTGTCAGCCAGAAAATCTTTAAATTTACCTGTAGCCTGGACTCTGCCCCCACTCTGAGTTGTCCTGCCTTTCTGAACCAAACCAACTTATTTCTTAAATGTATTTGATTGCTGTCTCATGCCTCCCTAAAAATATATAAAACCAAGCTGTACCCTGACCACCTTGGGCACATGTTCTCAGGACCTTCTGAGGGCTGTGTCACAGGCCGTGGTCACTCATATTTGGCTCAGAATAAATATCTTAAAATATTTTACAGAGTTTTGACTCTTTTGTTGACCGTACTTCCTGAAAAGATTAAGAGTTAGAGAGAGCTACACTTCATGCAGAGTGTGAACCTGTTTATCTATTGTGTAAAATGCAAGAGCTTCAGAGCTTTTAGGAGTGGCCCCTAAATCAAGTCAAACTGTCTGTTTCCCAACTGCCTCTTGCTGTATAGGATCCACCTAGCCCTGCTTTCCCAGGTGTACATTCTTCTTAGAGGATTTTTAGTGATTAAAGTACAGGGAAGAAAGAGTGTTCTCTTCTGCAGGTTTCTTAAACTGTAATTCAGGTCAAATTTTGAATATACATATGAAGCCATAGAAGTGTTAAATATTTTAGTTTATTCCCTTTAGTAGTTAACAAAAATTACTGCTTAGTGAAAGCTCAGTGTCAGAATATCCCTTCACTAAAATCTAGGTCTATAATTTGACAATTCATTTCATGGCACCTGACATTACTATTACATTCACTGTAGCACTTAGCATGCAAAGATTTTATTTTCATCTCCTCTCTTATCAGATGATGAGAGAGCATTAACTACAAAGTCTTGTAAAGGTCAAGTCAAGGCTTCATTTGAAAACAGAAACCAGAGGCCGACCCATTTACATAACATTGTGATCTCCTTTATGACTGTTAGGTCTGAGCACTGTCCCATATTACTAATTTTTCTACTTCCTTTTTTTCCGTAGGAGCTTGATGGAGACAGATACCATTTCTGTCAGTTTTTGCAAAATGTCTTGAGCTCGTTGAAAAATAGGTGTCATGTAATGCAAAGTATGGTCAGTGCTTTTAGCTCAGAACATTATTTGATGTTTAAAGCAAGTCCATTCAATGTAAATGATATGCATTTATATAGCTTACCATGAATACATTCATGCCCTAAAAATCTCGGATACTGCCTATATTCAGAGTAGCTAACATTTCATTTTGTTTTTATGTGTTCATTAAAAAAGAATAGAGAAAGTGTTTTTGATATTATGGCTTAGTCTCTGGATTTGGTCACCAGTGAAATTAATTTCAGAGCCTCACTCTATTACAGACATTTTTGTCTACTTCACAAAATAACACCATTTTGCATTATTGGTGGTCTTTGTTCAAGAGACATTACATCTAAAGAGAGCTAGAAATTGCAATTTAATACTAAGCAATGTTATGTGGGAAAGGAGGCCAACTCTCTACATGATCTCTCTGCTAGAGCATAATATTCTGCATATTGGCTTTTTTTTTTTTTTCACTATTCCCAAAAGTCAGGATTTTTCATTAAGTTCTGATAGTACTGTTGAAATTGACCTTGATTATTTATGTAAAGGGCCTCTCAGATAACCTATAGGTATGAGAATAGCTTTCTGAATTGTAATCATATTTAGGTTATATTTAAGCAGTGATGTTACACACTTTCCAAAAAGTAATTTATTGGGACATTTACGTAACTCGACATGCTTAAATTTGTTTATCTACTTATTGTTTATTTAAAACATTACATATGAGAGTTTTTGTTTTCCTTACTCAGCATTTTCCATATGGCTTTATTTTCCATTTAGTTTGAAAACTCAAAAAAGTTCAAGTTAACGAGCATTTATTAAACATCTATTATATTCAAGGCCCTGGGCTATGTACATGTGGAACATAAAAAATTATGATGATGACAGTGATTGCAAACACTTGCAATAAGTTCTCATATCCCTGTCAGGTAGGTGCTATTATTATCCCATGTTGCAAATGAAGAAGATGAGCCACAGAAGATTTCATAATTTGCTCAAGGTCATACAGCCAGTGATTTGGGAAGACTGGCTTAAAACACATACTGTTTAACACCAGAGATCACACTCTTAACCATTTTGCTATACTAAAATGAAGACAAGATCCTACCCTTAAGAAGCTTTCTTCCTACTAGAAAAATGATACATATTCAGGAGAAAAAAAAAAAAACCACAGTGTAAGGCAGTATGTGTTAGGTGCTGCATTACTGGCTCAAATGTGGAAGACACTGACCCTCAGAGAGAGCTTCATTCCTTTTGGGAGGTGGGGAAGGCCTCATGGAAGAAGTGCGTAGCTGACCCTTAAAGAATGGGCAGGATTCTGTCAAGTGAAATTAATTAGAGGAAGACCTCACTAGAGGGGGCAATGAGAACAAAGGCATTGTTTTGAGGAAAATGCAGTACCCAAAGTTAATTTGACTATATGAAAATGAAAAATATTTATGCTTACGTAGACCTTTGAATGTAATGCATGTTTTCAACTTAAAATTGGAAGTTTATATAATCATTAATGTGTTAATTATATATCCAAATTATAGATTTTTTAAAGGTCAAATTGTTATATATATTTTTTTAACTAAAGGGGTATATTTCAATGGAAAGCAGTTACCCAAACTGAAATCTGGCAGAGATGCTAAGGATTAACATTTATTTCATATGAAAATGTTATAAAATATTTTATGGATTTTTTTACATCTAATCTTAAAGGACATTTTCTGTAAGCTGAACTAATAGATCAGAGTTGATACAACAATAGTAAACCTACTTTCTACAGGAACTACTTCTATTACACTCTTTAAGTCTCTTTCTATAACCTGACAATATTTAAAGTACCACAAAAGATAGTTGCACTGATAATAAAAATTTGTTTTTACTGTCATGAATTTTTCCCCACATTTATGTTTATTAAAAATTGACATAAAACCTGTATAAAAATACACTTTATTATTCACTTTATTTCAAAGGACTGAAATAGTGTTTTCTGATTATAGTATTTCTAGAGGAAAGATTTTCTCCCTAGCTAATCCACTTGGAGAAATTTGGGGCCACCCACAAACCCGTAATTTCCTGCCCCAACTTATGAACCAAGTTATATTGAGGTTGTTATACAGTGTGATTTCTCCTTATGACTTTCACATTTTATTTTATAGGTTATATTGACTTTTGGATTTCAGGCAGTAAAATAAAAAATATTATGCAGTTCAAGTTAGAAAAATTGGATTAGTCCAAGCCATATTTTTACCTGGTATCTGTTTTCAGGCATTGTAATGTTACTTTTTATGATATTTGTATAATTGTATGTTTTAAATTTTATAGTTTTCCCTTATCTTTTTTTTTTAAATACCATACTGATTCATCTCAAATATTTTCGCCTCTTTAAGTTTCCCTTTTCCCCCAACTTTTCCGTAAGTGGAAAAAAGAAGGCATTGATTTTTGCCAGTTATTTTGGTTGCTTAGGTTGTAAGCCATCCTGGTTTGCATACATATAGGTTATTAAAGCCCCCTTCCTAGGCTATGATTTGCCCGTCTTCTTTACCTTTTGTTAAGAAGAATAAGATATAGGATGAGAGAATTAGTGTATACTTTTTTATCTCATTTCTGCATATTTTAATTCCATCTCCAGAAACTAGGTTAATTTCACCTCTGTCACAAATTTGAAAGGAAAGGAAAAGATGTATTAGTTTCCATTTTTATTATTATTTTCAGACTTTCAAACCTCCTGATCTAAGGTTAGTAAATGGTTAGCATTTTAAAAAATTATTCTTTTTATCTTGACATAATGAAGAATTCTGTTTTTATATTTTAAAGTCTTTTGTTCATTGTTTCTTATTTCCTGCTTTACATTTTTATTTACACCAAGGTTTTATCCCTTTACTAAAGGGAAGGAGATGGGATGAATGGCAGACTTTAACTGGATGCTTTATTTAGGCTGTTCAAAAGCAAAAAAGTTAATATGTTGTTATATCCGGGTGTTGGTTACAGGGATATCTGTTATATTCATTTATTGGTTCCTGTAATTTTAACATTTTAAATATTTCTTAATTGAAAAAGGAAAAATTAGACTGGTACCAGTTTATAGAAAGCTTTAACTTCTAGACAAAACAGGTAGAACTTTCCAGTTGGTTATGGAGAAGATATTGCCTAGCTTTTGTAGAGAGTGGCATTTTGAAAAACTGAATTTGGCATCTGCATTTAGAATGGTCTAGGGAATGGAGACACTGAAGAAAAGGAATTTCAGCAAATTCAGCATTCTGATTTCTGAAAAATGAATGCTTCAGATTAGGTAGTGGCATGGGCACTAGAAAGAAAAAGGATACTGCTTCTTTATATAATCATTCCCATTATATAAAGATGATATATAAGTTAGGCAGAGTGCGGAGGCACATGCCCATAATCCCAGCACTTGGGGAGGCCGAGGCAGGTGCATCACCTGTGGTCAGGAGTTCCGACCAGCCTGACTAACGTGGTGAAACCCCGTCTCTTCTAACTACAAAAATCTTAGCTGCGTGCAGTAGCACATGCCTTTAATCTGAGCTACTTGGGAGGCTGAGACAGGAGAATTGCTTGTACCTAGGAGGCCGAGGTTGCAGTGAGTCAAGATCACGCCATTGCATTCCAGCCTGGGCAACAAGAGTGAAACACCATCTCAAATAAATAAATAAATAAATATACATAAATTTTATATATATATATGATTATATAATGATTCTTTATATAATTCACATAATCATTTTAATAGGCATTCCCAAATAGAAGTTAGGGTGTATTACTAATTCTGCTTAATACACTTTGTATACTTTTATTTCCTATCTCAAATCTAGTTTCTACTACATAAGTATAAATATTCTCCACAAATTTGATTAACATCCTAAACCATGACCAAACTGAGAGCATGATGACTAATATGGTTTTTACTCCTAAGCTACCAATATGAAAGATCAACATTTTAAGAGGAGAACTAGTAATCTCTGTTACTAAAAATACTGGTTTCACATTAGTCTGGACCAATTAGAAGGAGCCTATGTCTACTTGGAAGTGTTCTGATTTGCAGCATATTCCTTGGCTGCTTCTACAAGATTCGGCAGACTTTTATTTAAGTCAGCCCTTGCTTAAATGTCGAAAAGGAAACTTTTAGGCCATTATTTCATGCTACTAGAAATAATATTGGTTCATGCAAATATTCTACTTTTACAAAATCATTTACTTTTTCCCAACTCTATGATATAAATGAGTTATTTTTCATAACCACCAATCTCTCAGTTTTATATTTGTTAGGCAGATCTAACATGAAAGTAAAAATTACTTGTAACCCCATTGGGATTACATGAATTTAACCTGTTTGCACGTTGTATTCAGTTGTCTATGAAATACGAGGGTACTTCAAAAAAGATCAAGGTAAAATGCAATTAAAATATAAAAATAAAAGATACAAATTTTATTTCCCAACACAGGCACCATCAAGGTCAAGACACTTTTGTCTAAGTGATAATACCAGCCATTTAGTCCATCCCTCAGTTCTTTTGGAATTGAGGAATTTAACCATGTCAGTGCAGTCTTTTTTTACATTACTATCTGAAGAAAAATGGGTGTTCTTTATAGATTTTTTTAAGATTAGGAAATAAAAAGAAGTCAAAGGAGCCAAATCAGTTCTGTAAGATGGATGCTTAATGACTCCCTATTGAAGCTCTTGTAAAATGGTCCTGTGTGATGAGAGGAGTGAGCAGGAGCATTGTCCTGGTCATAAAGGACTCTAGTGAAGCTTTCTTAGATGTTTTTCTGCCAAAGCTTTGGCTAATGCTCTCAAAACACTTTCATGATAAGCAGATGTTATCATTCTTTGGCATCCCAGAAAGTGAGTAGGCAAAATGACTTGAGCATCCCAGAACACTGTTGCCATAACCTCAGCTCTTCACTAGACCATTTTCATCTCTAGGTAGCCAGTGTTCTGATTGTGCTTTGTCTTCAGGATCATACTGGTAATGCCATATTACATATCCTGTTGCCATTCTTGGACAAAATCCTTCAGAATCTTTATCCCATTCATTTAAATGTTCATTGAAAGCTCTGTTCTTGTCTGCAATTGATCTGGGTGGTGGTAAGAGTTTTGGCATCCATCTAGTGGACAGTTTCCTCAACTTACCTTTCAGTCAGAATTGTGTAAGCTGAACCAATTGAGCTTTCTGTGGTGTTGGCTGTGGTTTCTGCTGTTAATTTTCAGTTCTCTTAGGGCATGAAAAAGATTTTTTTTTTCCTCTCAAATGGATGTGGATGCTCTGTCACTGTGGGCTTCATCTTCAATGTTGTCTCATCCCTTCTTAAAACAAGTTATTCATTTGTAAACTACTAATTTCTTTGGGGCATTGTCTCCATCAAGTCTTTATAAAGCATCAGTGATTTCACCACATTTCACCCACAGTTCACCATAAATTTGATGTTTGTTCTTGCTTCATTTTTAGAAGAATTAATTTTGCTGTAATAGGGGCTGTTTTTAAATGAATATCTTATTCTTCTTACTGCCTCAAACTAGATCCTGTTCAGGCATATTATGAAAAGTTAGTATATTTTGGTGCAAAAGAATTGTGAAATCCACGCATAGTTTTTTCATAATATGCTTTTGCCATGAGCTTTTTGAAGAACCCTCCTCCTAATCTGTCTTAATCCCCTGTTCCATTAAATCTATGATTTTGAAGCAGCCATATGTGACCTGTAATCAAAAAGCAATGTTTGATAGATGGTCTCACCATTCTGTCATTTTTTTCCCCATCCAAGATAGAAAATGTCTTTGAAATCTTTGTATATTTTCCAGCCCTATAAAAGAATTCTATAAAACAATTTCAGTTCAAAATTATTATTGAGAACTTTTAAACAGGATATTTAAAAGTTTGTTTTATTAACTTGGCCTCGGTTACAAAACTCATTAATATTAATGACTAGACTACAGAGGCATGTAGCCTGTCTAATCATTAACAGATACAAAACATTAAACCAAATTGTGAAGCTTTGTTATGCTGTAGTCATTCCAGGCAAAGACTACATATAACAAGCAAAAGCTGAACAGTCCAATTGAGATGTTTCTGATCCAAGCCTTTGACTTCTTTTTGTAGATGAACTGGAGTTTTAAAAACGGAGCCTCAAATTTTTTATTGAATTCATATGAATAAATGACTCATTAAAATAAAATACTTGAAACTAACTAAAGTTACCATTCAAAAAAGGCATTTATTATTAATAAACTATAGAAAAGAGAGAAAACTTGAAGGCACAATTTACTTTTGTTAAAGTATCAATCTTAAAATTGCATTTATTTTCTCTTAGAGAACTTTAGATGATATCAGTCATTATTAATCTCATAAAATGTATGTAAATATGAGCTAAGTGATGTATTTTATTTACCCAAAGATATGTTCTAACAGCCTCTGCAACTGCCACCAACCTTTCCTGTAAAACAGCAATATATTAAATAAGAGTGAAGAGGGCTTGAAATTTCAACCTTGAGATGGGCAATTACACTGTATTCAGTACAGCAGATTTTTACTTAGTTCCACTTATATATCAACAGGCCTTTCTAACTGGCAAGCCTCATGGTAAACATGAGAAATATGGAAGCTTATTAGGTCACTTTTCGTATATAGAACTAATTATTTGAGACATTTGTCTACAATAGAGGTTGGCAAACTTTCTTCTATAAAGGGCCAAATAGTAAATATTTAAAATTTGCAGACTATACAGCTCTGCTGTTATAACACAAAAGCAGCCTGAGACAGCATATAAAACAATGAGTATGGCTGTGTTCCAATAAACCTTTATTTACAAAACCTGAAAGCAGGTCAGCTTTGGCCCAAAAACTGAAAGCAGGTCACATTTGGCCTGCAGACTATAGTTTATCAATTCCTGCTCTACATTTACTTGATTTCTTTACTGTATACTCATTCCTCTAGTCGGCTGGGCTTGGCTTTTCCCCATCACTACACCAAAATACTTTTGCCAGTATCAGTAACATTCTCATCACTGAATCTAAAATAAAAACTTACCAGTCCTTGTCTCATTTGGATTCTTGGGAGCTGTTGACATTGTAATCACTCTCTCCTTAAAAATTTTTCTTTCTTTAGTATCCCTGACCTACCTCTAGTTTTAACCTACCTCTCAAGGCAGTCTCTTAATTATTCGTGTGCCTTAAGGATTTATTCTTGATCTTCTTGGCACATTTGCTTTAGGCAGTACTTTGTTCCCATAGCTCTAATTTCTGACTGTTTTTTCTCCCTCCTGATTACTCTTAAGTATTAATCTGTAGCCCAGATCCCTAACTCAGATGCTGAGTTTGTATATCTAATGGCCT